AGAATTTCCGATCGATGAGGAAGTCTCGCAGCCAATTCCGCATGACCACAACTACACCTAGGTTGGACAGCTTACGCAGAAAAAGATCGGGCGGCACCTTGTCGAAAGCCTTCCTGAAGTCCACGAAGATGATGTTCGTCTCGTGTCCTTTGACCTTGTCCTCGGTCCAGCATCCACGTGCAAGTAGCAGGTTTGAGAGGCATGAGCGACCCGGGCAGAAACCGTGTTGTTGGTGGCACAGGTGACCGTGGCACACCATATGCTGCCGAAGCCATGCAGCCACCAGTCGCTCCATTAATTTATGGTTTATGGCTTTAAAGAGCCCGAGGAATGGCTGCGAGAAGTGGTGGGTAGATATATGTGGAAAGATGGAGAAGGTTACGGCTATTGGTAACAGTCAAAATCTCTTCCGTCTAAACAGGAGTATGGACAAGTAGGTGTAAATGAAATAATTTTAGGTGTCTGACGGCACACTGATTCATACTCAGCAGCACTGTTTTGAGCAACGGACACAATCTAATTGGCCCATTGAAATCACACCTCCAAAACTCTGCTTTAACTGAACAAATACTGCCACGTGATTCCAGTCCTCCATCTAAACTGAGGATTACCCCGAAATTATAAGATATAACGCTTTTGGTCCAAATTGTTTCTCCTCATTATATTTTAACCATGGAGTTTCTGTCCTGGTTTTTTAAATGATGAAACTCCTGGGTTCAACTGTGGAAAAAGAGTAGGTGGCGGCTCAGTTATGTGAATCGATCGTCTTACTGATTTATGTAGAAGCGGATAGATCATCTAGTGTGAACCTCAGAGGAATTTTCTTACTCCACTGTTATGTTTTACTCCGCTTAAACCCATTGCCTACTATTATGTCGCACAGCACTATATCACAGGTGAACACTACAAGTGCAAAGAACACAAGATATAGCACAGTAACACTAGTAGCACACGGGATTTTGTTTTGTACACCATTTTGGGCTATATTCTCAGTATCCGTCATGGCTTCTTCCATCGAGAGCTCTTAGTTGAGTAGATAATCGCGGTTATCTGGTTGGCATTTCGCTAATCGATTCTTCTGGATAGACGATGTAAGATTTAAGTGTTTTCGGTTGGTTTTTAGTTTTGAGGACGTAGTAATCATCCTTATTTCATCGCCCTTTATGATCCAGTTTTTAACATTCTAGTATGAGGTACTGCTCATATTAGTCAGTAGTATGATTCGAATGCAGTAAAAGATGCGATTGATGGTCTCTAACACTGATCAACTGGAAAAAATACCACTGGAGCGAACACGCTTATTTATAACTGCAACTACTGACGACGCACATCTAATAACCGACCGTTCCGTTCCGTGTAAATTATGATTGACCTGTTCCAGACGAGACTTTTTCTTGTGTCTACTCCAATTTATCGGTAGTTTTGTCGTCGTTCGTAATAGACAACGTTCCTCGTCCCGTCACTGTCATATGAAATTATAGCACTAGGTTTTAGATGGTTTTTGAATTGTTACGTCTGATCCTATTTTCCTCATTCCGTTACTGCTCTACTTGATCGTCTGTCAGTTAGACTGTTTTTCCTGCAGTGTTGTTACCATCTGCGTACCACTCCCCCGGGAGTTTGACCAATACTTTGGTGGATAGTTGGTGTTGCTGTTTTTGATTGTATAAAATCCATCAACCACTACTTACCAGTGATCAGACAACCCGGTGGAGAACGCTGGACTTTCGTATTTGTCCTCGCACTTCAGTGGAGACGATGAGTTTTGCTTTCTCAGCAGAGGCTCTTTTGAACACTAACGATCATTTATAGCATATTCCGGGGTGGGTAGCTATCTCAAACCTCGAGGTTTCCATTCGTGAACGTGGTGAGACTTCTAGAGACTATCTAATAACATGAGCTTCAAACTTTCTTTCCTCTCATCTGTAAGTAGTATCCGTATTTCCTTTAATTTCCGATAACAATTGTGTCGCGTAACTGAGATATCAGCATAAATTCGCATGTGAAATGGACTAAGGTATTCTTGCGGGTGCTCAATATTTGTTGTGAATTGACGTCTCATGCTGTCTTCACGTCCATCCTTTTGATGAATGGTCCAGAGTGTGCACTGCGTGCGCACAACAATCAAAAGAATCTGCCCGAATGCATTCACTGGCTTTTTACTCCATGGGACTAGTAGTGATAAGCCGCATCGTACGCATGGTATTTAGCCGGTCGTAACCTCAACTGTCGATCTCACTTTGGCACATGCTTTAAATTCAGTTATCTCTCTTCTTCGACGAATAATTTGAGTTTTTTCCAGTCACCTTCAATTTGGTATTGTGATCGACAACAGCAGTACAGTTCGGTTAAGTACGTCACCCCAGTCCATTACTTCCAATTCTTCAAGATTAACATTGTCAGTTTTCTCTCATATTCAATAGAACTATCCTGTGCAAGACTTTCATCTGTTTAAACAAATTACGAAATAAACTTTGTTTGCTATTTTTTCCTTAATAATCGTACTAGGTTATATTTGATTGTCTATCCTCTAGAACCACTGTTCTCTTTTTATTATTTTTATTGATCTTACCTGATTCTTGCGCAGCTCTTTCACCCTTTTTTGCACAAGCTAGCTAATATGTATCGTAGATTTCCTCTTTTTGCTCGTTCGTTGATTGGTATTCTTCCTCCTTTGCGTCATGTTAGGGTAAACGCTATGTGAGTGGAATTGGATCCGCCTCGCGGAATGCCCTTTTTCACTTGCACAACGGAGATGACATTATCATGTTAACCACTTGTCGTCATGGGTCCGATTGGGTGCGTTACGCAGATCGCCGATGCGCGTTTGACATGGCTATGTATGACAAGTGAGCCAAGCGTCCGTCACTGAAACAATTTGGTTTTTCCCTTTCTGTGAAAAATGACGAGATAACCTTCTGTTCATTTAATGATGATCTGTACTATGTCAATTATATTGCATGCTTTTAGAAAGAAACTTCTTCCTAGGCATGTTTCATGCCCATGCTCTCTCTCTCACGCGGTCGGATTCTTTAGCGTACATGTTTCCGACCAAAGCAGTTTGAATTAAAAGATGCTGATTTTCTTCCCTCCTGGGTCTAGAATGCTAGCGCAATGTAACTTTAGCCCGAGGGGTAAAGTTACTTGGTAGACACATTTTTCCTTATGCACGATTGTTAAAAGAAGTATCGTTATCCATACACTGCATAGCATAGATGTTTTGTAACTTAAAGGTAGTTTGGTATCACTGTGTCAACTGTCTTCATCCACTGCATTCCGATCTGTCATCGTGTCGTTACCATCCGTCCACACCCTCTCGTATTGTCATTCATAAAAGCTCCTTCGTACCCTACCTCCTTCGACTCTTAACCGAAAAGGAACAGGTTGCAAGTGAATTGCNTGAATTGCGTCAAACGTTTTGTACACGTAACAAACTTCAGTGACATTCTTCACTTTGTCTACTATATGAAGCTGTATATTTGATTCGTTGTGACGACCACTGTATATTTTTAACTGAAATGTCAGCATATAGGCTTACAAGTTATCTAAATAGAAATCAAGATGCCAATTAATCGTTCCCATCGTGCAGCTGACTGTAATAAAACAAACTTCGCAGCGAAACTGACTAGCTTACAGTGTGCACAAATTGGATAAGTATAGATCTTCTTGCCAGACGGATGAATAAAAGATCCATTTGGCAGCGATCAGTGAAGTTCACTTCACTGTATTATGCTCTACAATGATGATGGTGATACAGTTAGCCGGTCTCTTACACTCCATTCTTGAAGATTAGAAACGCCTATTGTGTCTTATAAATACGTGCATCTCCTTTGCGGTTTATAGCTGTCCTATCAGAATCCATCGGATGAGTGCTATTACGCATCTCTCCCTTCCTGCTCGAGTTTCGCTTGTCAGAAGTTGCTCATTTTGCGTCCAACAGTCAATCGGGTTCTCACAAAGCGCTCAGTCTGTGTACAAGTGATTCAAACGTTACTTTATCACGTATTTCCTTATTTGATATTTCATGTATGTCGTTTCTTTCATAGCAAACGATCTCAGTTATTGTTTCACTCTCCCTGTGTGCAGATATGATTACAACGAACTGATGCACAATTCAACTTTTTGTCTGGTTTCACGGGGTAGACGATTGGGGTCTTATCGGTGAGTAGAGTTCATAATTTTGCGTCAATGTTTTTTACTAATAATAATATCAGTTTAACTTGTTTGAATGATTTGAACTACCTTTCCCTTGTAATCTAGGTTTCTCGAGGCACTTCAAGCTTCTTGTATTCCAGTGATGCTCAGCAACGATTGGGAACTTCCATTCTCTGAAGTCATTGATTGGCGTCGAGCTGTAGTCTGGGGTGATGAACGTCTTCCATTACTTCTTCCTTTGACGCTGCGCCGTCTCAGTGACCATCAGATTGTGCAACTCCGACAACAAGTGACCTTTTTATGGAATACATATTTTCACTCTATCGAATCGATTGTTCTCACTACACTAGAGGTGAGTTATTCACAATAGCGTCTCACTGGGTTCACCCTGATGCAATGTGAAGATTTATAAATGAAGTCTTTGTACAGATTGTTTTCGTAGTAAATTGGATGTGGTTGAACTACAATCGGTTTATGACTTCACTTGGTGAAAAGATGTAGTCAAACTGGAAAAGGTTTAACCGAATTGTAGGAAAATATTTTCATTCACTATCGATCGCTGTTACTAAGTGTTAACTAATTTACTTTCTGGTTATCGCTTATAGGGAGTTTGCGAGAGATATGTTTCAGTTTCAGATTGTACAACCTTTAACCATGCACCATCGTGCTGTCTTTTGGCTGCCCATTTGTATGAACATTAGGAGAAAGACAGGAAGGGTTGAAAGTACGATCAAAGAGAAAATTTAGAATTTCAGTGGGCTAATTCTGCAGAGAAATCGACTAAATGCACGAATGCCACTGTTCACAACACAGACATATCACTCAATGCCTCTAACCATCGGTTACGATCATCCCGAGGTCCCCATCTAGGGAGCCTCACGGTATCTATGTGCCCCAGACTGCTGGTTAGGGTTTTCATACTCTCATGCCAGGTTTTAGCTTGACCACCCTTGACTTTCTTCCACCCACTACCTGCCTCGGCAAACATCGCTCGCGGTAGCAACCTATCTGTTGGCATGCGTGTAACACATGCCTCAAACAACGTAACCTATGGAGGTCGACCACTTGCTTCAGTGAACGACCGCGGTTACCCAAAACTCTGCGCCTAACCTTTTTCTTTTTAATTTACTTCCTTTTTTTTAATACACAACGAAACAATTTTCAGGAAGGAGAAGCGGCCAATCAAAGGGCTGCCACGGGGAAGTCAGTCGGTGGTGGTGGGGGTTCGAACACACGTCCCCCTAGGTGGTAATTTGGTGGTTTTACCACCGGGCCACTACTGCCCAGCAGCATTGCTCGTCCGGCTGCCCTACCAGATTTGTGCAATGCTGCGTATTCAGCGGCGTTCAAACACTGACAGTCTAAGTAGATATATAGTGTCTTTCGTAGTTGAGATCATAACGTCTAGGCGTGGTGACACAACTTATATGCTTGTATGTCCCACGGAAGTATCCTGGTTGTCCTGTCGTAAGAAGCACTCATTCGACACATATGTAGTCAATAGCCATAGGCATAAGGAGATGATTCTCACAGGATTGAACAATGGGCATCAGTTAGATGCTTTTCATACATTTCTGATCCACTACTATGAGAGAGGGCACTGTATAATGACATGAAACAAGAAATTACATTGCCTATCAAAAGTTTTTGTTTTATCACTGCCTTCGTTGTGTCTTCTGTATTGCTCAGTAGTTTAATAACTTGGATGTGTTCGTTCAATAGGCTGGATGAGGTCGAATATCAGTACCAAAAAAAAAACAGATCGTTGGAGGATACGTTAGCAGGTATACCGGGCTCCTTAAATCTTTTTAAGTGGGTTTCTTGTAAAACTGGATCAACGAGTGTAAAAATATACTTTGTGACTTGTTTATTCACTCTTTCAGCCAAATAACCATCTGTTCTCCCTAACCGCATTTCATTGTAAACGCAAGTGAAATGGCTAACAAGCGTTCTCAAGTGCACGATTAATAGTTTTAAATAGTAAAACTGAAATATCAAGATCACTGTGGCTGCTATTGTGAAACTGCCATTCCAAATAACCAGTGGTTTGCAGCATGCATAAGTTAGCTGTAACCTGTACACTGCAAAGAACAGACTTTGAATTATGACGTGTGTGGTTCAAATTCGATCACTACGTTTTCGACTGAGTTTTCGTATATTGTTCATTGAAGTCTTCTGGATGACCATCACCGGATAGTTTTCTTGAGGAGTTCCCACTTGTTTAACACTTAATCAGGGTTATGAATGTTTCGGGTCCGGCGGACGAATGTTCGCAATGTGCTTTTTCGCTAAACAGCCCATTGTAATTTACCATCCGGACACCCCGTAATTATGAAACTATCAAATTGGAAATCTGTGATTTCATCCTCGAGTGCGATAGCTGACCATCAGACACAATTCGTCTGAATGAGTATGTGATCAAACTGTCAAAATGGCCTAGAGTAGGAGGACTATCGTGGTTCATAGAAACATCGAATAGACCTTTAAAGCAGAAATACACACAATTTGTAGCACATCTTTTCCCATCCTGGCAACTGTATTAAGGCGATTCAATACTTTGGGGACTTGTGAGTATTCAGTAGAGAAGAAACGTACTGGATTATATCGTCCGCTGGCATCGGAACATTGAAGAGATTCTTCAGTTTAATAATGTCAGTAGTAAGTATTTAGCATTCATGATATCCCGGCACCAAAATTGAAGATTATTTTGATTTCAAGTGTTTAAAATGTCCACAAGACTGCCCCTATGATCTGAGATTTAGATGTCCATTTGTTTGGAATAACGCGAAATTTAAAGGGAAATGAATGACGTAGCGCGGTTTCTGAAATCCCTGGACACCTGCAGCTGCGTGGAAGAGGAAAGTACGTTTGTTGTGATCAAAACCATCAATTCAGTTGTGAACCGTAAAGGGTCGCAAGGCTCGTAACTGAAAGCACTTGGTGTAATTTTATGCTTCATCTTCTCCCGAAATCATCGGTAGCACACAAGCATCGGAGCAAACTGCAGGCTATCCATGTGATTGACAGCACACCGTGCCACGTCCTCAAACACTCGGTAAAACTTTGAATTATATTCAGCTGAGTTCCTTGTGCTCAAATGTCTGAGATAGTTATGATTGATTTCGACTGAACATCGTACAGTCTATCGGATGGCATCCGTTTGACATATCCACTAGCCCGTGCACAATCCCAGGTTCGAACCCCTCATAGAGAGCATGTATGGTACCAACCAGCATGCATCGGTCCTAGTCAGAATAGCCTGTGGACATGCATTATTGATGGTCTCTGATAAAAGTGCAATTCAGGTCTAATGATTCCTGAATTTATGATTGGTTCTTTGAACTGGGAGTTGTGTGTGAAGAATTTCGAGGAATGAACGATCAACATCAAAAGCTGAATTTTATACAGAGCTGTTGATGATGTTCACTGAATAAAAAAATTAATTTATCACGACCTAAATGTTCGCATTATTTCTTCCATTTTCATCTATTTAATGTCTTTGTAAACTGCAGATCATTCGTGATCGAGTATCGCTTCATCGTCGCAGCCATGCAATCTGGAATTCACCTCCCGGTGCTTTGGTCCTATCACAAAGACATTCATCTCGTGCTTGCAACGTGCCTTTAGAACAAAACACCGGATCTTGTACTTGTAAGTCTAGTTTTGTCTCTGTCGTTGCGCGAACTGCAGTACAATTCCAGTTTCCTCTGCACCAATCGTATGAGTTGCAGTGGTTTTCTGTTCTCAGAATTTCTAAACAAGGTCAAACGAGCAAAAGTCAAAACGAGTCAACGTAAACAGGGCGACAAGGACAGATTAAACAGTAGCATGCTGTCATTGACTAACCAGGTTTTCATCAGGGGCTTATTATCTTTTATTGACAGTGTTAATAGTAATATATTTAGATGAATCAAACTTTTGCATAATTTGGGTTAATTCCGTGGGCCATGTTCTGTGTATTGTTGTCCCGGTGGTTATCTCACTACCTTGATGTTCAATAATTCATTAATTATTTGTGATGAAATTTGGTACAGTGGCACTCACTGATCGCCAAACAGTTGTTTTTTTCCTTATGGGGTTGGTCAGCAGTGTGTTCTATTTATTATGGCCCTGTCGGGATTAGAACTGACACCCCAAACCTTGAGCTACGGGATTAATTACCAAGTTGTGGTGTCTTTGAATTCGCTTGGATAATCCAAAAGAAAAGAATGGGGGAAGATGAAACATCATGATCAGCTGTGTGCAAATAGTTAAAACTTGAGCAAAGCATATGGCCTCAAACGCATTCAAGTTGCTGTGTTGTTCAAACGTTCACCATATACTAAGATGTAACTGACGTCGCATTCCCAAACAAGTATATTACAATTTGCCGAAAAATAACCGTTTGTTAACAAAGTATTGAAAATCGGTTCTCGTAGCTCGGATGAACTGAATTCCAGTTCGCCTGTTCACCGAGCTTGGTAATAGTTTGCTGGTGGTGAAAAGTTTGCAAACAAATTGCCAAGCTCGGTGAATAGGTGAAATGGAATATCCGTTTGTCATGGCTTTGATGCCACAAACTTGACGTATGAGTAGATCGATTTGGTCGCTAACCGTTTTAAGAATTTGATTACCCCCTCTCCTGTCGCGGTGATTTTGATCCTCGCTTTTGTGTCCAATCTGGTTAATGTTTCTTTCACCTTGGGCCTCCTCATTGGTTTCCCCTGTCTGTTTCCGTTGGCCTGTTCACAAACCTGTCATTGTTCCAATCAAATGTTACCTTAATGTATGCACAAAGCTGTTGAATTTAATGTGGACTAGTTGAATTCACGATCACGATGCCCATCACCTTCGTGAAAGTATTACAGATAACTGGTTGCATTAAAAATCTACGAAGTGTTCATTTCAAATACTGTTCAAGTTCGATTGTGCGTTAGTCGTTTCATTGTTATGCGGTAATTCATTTGCAGCGGAGGTCGACGACGGTTTTACTGTTATCATCCCTGTGAGACAGCGAATGTGTGATGAGTACCTGGTTCGTATGAAACGATTTGCCACAACCGTTTTCCAGTCACAACATATCCGAAAGGTCAGTCGAGTGATTTCTGTGCTTTTGTCCAAGTTAAAATCGTCTTCTCATCATCTCTTGTTCGTTCATTTGTTGCTGGAAATGCGGTTTGGATGTAGAGTAAATTAGACTGTGCTATGCATACAATTAATTGAACTGTTTAATTGACAGGGCAATCACTGATGACCCTTGATGACTCTCTATTATGTACAGTTTAATCGTTCGTGTGTCTGTGTGCGCGACTGCATTGCCAATAATAACTGCAGTATTCAATGCAACTCATTCATAAAAGAAGTGACTAAACGCGAGTTGTGCTTTAGAAGCTGAAGTGATTGTTTCCTGACTTCTATTTTCATTGTTTGCACTCACATACCCCTATTGTTTGGTGATATCAAGCTTCCCATTTCTTCCTTCCAACGTTCTCTGGGAAGCAAACTTGACCACTTCTAGATGCAAGCAGTTAACCATCAATAAACTGATCCTTTTAAGTAGTAATAATAACATCAATCATGTATATATTTCACACACGTCCGATGCCCGACTATGTGCCGAACAAATCATGGTACCATAATCCTTATAAAAAAGAAGGACGTTCCATGAGCTGAATACTTCCAGGTTGCCCAAGCCAAGGGAGGTGAATTGTCTTGGGGAATCCACAATCGGAGCCTTCGGTTAGCCAAAGCCTGAACCGCACTGCAGCGGAGCGGTGCGTGAAGACCGCAATCCATTGGGGGCCGATGTCCAGTGCATCGGGTTATGCCCCCTTTGGACGGAATCAAACATCCAAGGTACCCAATACACCTCGACACTCGAACGCGCCGGTGACCACTGCCACACCGAGTAGGGTGTGGGTGAGTGTCGTTCGTGCACCTCCTCTTGGTTGGTTTGGAATCAGGTTTTTGGTCGACTCCCCTATGTAAACTACCAGTGGTCCACCAAACCGGTTATAGCCCCGGATGTCGGCTTTTCGTCCTCTCACTTTGATGAGAAAACATCTCCGCACGCGAGGGCAATGAGTAGGATTTCCTCCGCAGAGGCTATTTGAGACGCTTGGTCTTATGGGAGTGTTTTGCGAGGTGCAATGGGGAGTGCCCAGCCGCAACCGTTGACACCATAATAATAAATAATAATAATAAATTGTTTTTGAACGTTCTCAGCCTGATCATTGCAGTCGCGGTGTTGGCACCAATCGTTTCGTAGCATAGCAATACATTCAACTGGCATCCGAATCAGATGTTATGAGATATGCGCACATATACTGATCTTTTTTCCACACTGTTCCACCGTTCCAGGTATTATTGGTGTGGCTTTGTCAAACTCTACCACCTGAAGTCTCCGCCTTTCAGGCTTACTTTTCTGTTCCAATCGACGTGGTTGTACAAGATGAGTTCAGAGAGTTACTCAACGGCCAATCCCGTGATCCGTCGCCTGCTGCCCGATTTCAACCATTCTTTAACGTACCCACCTTGGCTGTATTTACGTTCACTATGGAAATGGATTTAAGCCTGGAAGAGGTAGCTCACAACCAAATGCCCTTCCCTTCACCTCACCCCCCCCCCCATATGTGTATAGGAGTTTCGGTAATGTCATCTGGATGTTGATAGTAGCTTTTAATCTATTGCTCCATATTATTATGGCGTCTCTAATTTCCTATTTTTATTCAAATGATATTTGTTTTAAAGTAGAAAACACGTATCTAAAGTATCAAGCTTGGATTTGGCCATTCGATTGTTCAGAAGCACCAGACACTCTTGGTGGTCTTGTTTGTGGATTCCACTCCTTGAGAGATGGTTAATTCCCCCACGACGTAATGCATTCATATGAGATGGAAATGTTTGTGATAACCGACAAATAGCACTGGACAGCTGTATCGTCCAGTTTGGGACTCGTCAGCAGTGCGTACATTTTGTGTCCCTGTCAGGACCCGAACTGCGAACATTCGGATCAGAACTGAAAACCCGTACCCTTAAGCCACAGGTCGACGGTTATCACCTTGTGCGAATGGCTCAATCAATTCAGGGCATAAAGCTTGGATTAGCTCATTCGAGTGTTCAGAGGCACCAGACACTCTTGATGGACATATATATATTCAGTTATTACTTCAAATACTTACAACACGCAGGTAAACATAATAATACGAAATGCTAGTATTTATCTTCTCTGGAATATCTGACTGGGCTCTAATCGACAGAACAATAATTTTTGCCTGAGAAAAAGACGGATAAAGACGGAGTCCTATTTATCTTATTAAGTCTACAAAATACGCGCGCGCACACACGACATTTTCTCATCATCATACCTCCTCGATAAAGGTCAGTATACAGGGAAACCTTTTGTATGCCACTATACCTGCTGCCGGTGAGACATGCAAGTTTGAACTCCGCGGTTTCATCTTCACAAGGGACGGCTATAGCTCACCTGAAATGAACAAATCCTAACTTTAGTGATTCTGTCCTGGTCACATTCGTTTTATTTCATGAGGGTGCGAGAGTCTAATCTGAACCATGTGTTAATAATCAATGCTCTAGCGCATGTGATCCTAGTTTTTTCCATTTTCCTTTCGCGATCTATCTCATCCGCTCGGGAGGTTTGAGCTTACCGGATCACTGAAAACTATAAACGGAAGAGCACGAATTCTTGTGCTTGAATCGAAGACCGCGGTTTGGTATCCGCAGGTTGACTTCGATTTGCTACGTTATTGGGATGGAAAATGTTTATGTTGTTTTAACTTATGAGTCAAGTTAATGATTGATTTTTCCTATTGTTGCTCAAATTGAGTTCCTTATCGAGAAACTCTGGTTCCAACCGATTAATTTATCGAAAAATGCCTACCCTTCTGTAAAGAACATCTCCATTGACGTTGTTCACTTTTCTATGACTACAATAATGGGTTCTTTCGAGGCTCTCAGGTGAAATACTCAATCCGCTTAATCTGTAGAATATAGTTGCAATGGTAGTGTTTTGGTCTGCGATGTTTCAGTTTTTGTCTCTCTCTCTCTCTGTTTTGAATGACCAACCATTTTGGATACCAATTCAGTGAATATGCGATCATAGTGGACCGATAATGTCTGCGTATGTGATGGATTCAGATTTTTCAACCGGTCTCTGTGCATCAGAAGCAAAAACCCGGAAATTTCGGTGAAAAGCATGTTAGCGCTAGCGAACCTGAGCCCGGGTTAGCGTTCTGGTGCTGGTTTGTTCCCATCCCACTGTTAATCATCGTTAAACGGAAAATGTTGATGGTTCTTGTGTGATCAGAGTTACCAAAAACCTCTTTCTTTACGGGAAAAATAAAAACGGGATTCCAGGTTTGGACGGCTGAATCAGCTCATTTGGTTGTGATTTGTTTTACTTCAGAGACTAGCTAGAAATTCGTCACAACACAACAAGGATAAGAAACAACCAGTGATAACTGGTCGGACCGCGTGAATGATTTCCGCTGATACGCTATGTAATTTACGCAATAGTCGTTCCTGTTTGAGTACTATTTAGTTCTTTCATGTTGCCCTACATCAAATCTGATTGCTTATCATCACGGCTCAATTTTTGCGTTTGCATTCACGTAGCTGGAATTCGGGTTTAGTGTATGGCAAGAATTCCCAAACCGTTTGATTGGCTATAACCCCGCTAGTCATCGACGCAATACAAGCAGCGGTTTGTGGGAGTACATCTGGAATCCGGCCAGCCAAACTCATTCAATTGTACTTTTGGATGCGGCTTTCTACCATCGGTTAGTTAACTTCTTCACATTCTCTGTCGTACTCGCTGATCTTTGCTCATAATCCTTGTGTTCACACGTAAACTTGAGCTCCCCCGCTTGCACGGATTGTGCACAGCGAACCAAAGTCAGTGTCTGACTGTTCAGCCATACGATTGATAGTCAAATATTAGTAAACGAAACCTGTATGAACACTACCGAATGTAATATGTGCAAAGCAAACATAAATGCTCGACATAGAGGGTCAGCAGATCTGTTCTCCGAAAGAGGTTCTAAATAAAATGAGTAAAACAAGTTCACTTTTACTATGCACACACATTTCTTCGAGCATCCTGTTCGGTTCTGAGAGAGTTGACTCATAGGACGCCACTGCTGTCCGTACAGTGCCATGTTCTCAAGTGTCCTCTCCAGCCAACCGGTCACAGGTAAGCATTTCAGCATCATCTGTCATCAGCATGTGATCGTTCTTATGTGCTCATTCACAGAATGAGATCTCACGTGTATCTGTTGTCATCAGCACTGATGTGCGCAATCGGTGCACATTCCCATATAGATAATTGTTCTCTATTTTCTTCTCCAGGTCTGTAATGATTGAATTTTAGTTCCCCTTCATTATCGTCTAATCTGTGCATCCTCTGTTCTAGATACTACAACTATCTCTACTGGTTAACAATTGATCGAAAAGTACACGAGATAGTCAGCGTTCTGAACGATTGTGAAGACTTATTATTGAACACGTTGATCGGACACATTAGTCAAGCACCACCGGTTTTAATTCATTCAATCGGTTTTAAAAGCCTCCGAAACTTCACGAACACAGAATCCCAATCGGTCCAGAGAAGTGCTTGCTTGCAAGCGTTCGCGGAATATTTCTCGATCACCTCGTCAGTGTTTTGGTGCCCTCTGCGTTCCGAAAATTTCACCGTGTTCCGTCAAAATCAAGCAGGTGGAGCTAATAGTAATACATATATCCCGCTGCACTATACATCTTACGGGTGAGTCCATTTTAACTGGATTTGGTTTGCACAACCATCCTCACTTTCGTTACAAACAGACAAACGCTAATAACTTGTGTATTTTCTCATTTTTATCAATCTATTTTAGCCATTGTTGTACTTGTGGTAGCAGTTAATGTTCAAATTGCGTTTTTGTTGTCTTATTCATGTATCATTATGATCATGATCAGATGGACAAAATAACAAACAGTTTTCTTGTGATATCGAGATCGTCATACGTTACTAAAATGAGTCCCCTGTCAGATGAAATACTTCACAGAAGTTATTCATGAAATTGGGCTGTTTTTCAAGGCATTACAATATGATGTAGCATTTCTCCAAACTATCGGAATCCAAGTGTAGCCCTGTTCTAAGTACAAACCACCTTACATGTTTTTTTTCGGTCAACAATAGTAGTAGTCTGAATCAATCGTTCAGGGTGTTCATGAGTCCGTTTAGACAATCGTCCGACGGTGCGACTTACGCACGTTGTCCCACAGAAACAATTAAATAAGTATACACAGAAAGCGATCGCCGAGTCGGGAAATTCGACCTCCAATCGCAAACACAACCGGCTTGGACGTGAACAACACACAACATATGAAGTCTTTTCTATTACATCGGATCGCCTTTTTTATGATCTAAGCTAATGTGTCCCCCCTCGAATGGCAAATAAATGTACACGAACTTTTTCCTACGCTCGATATTTTGTAGAAGTTTCTTCGTACCCTGAGTCATTTTGTTGACTAAACGTTTGGGATATCCGTGACTTTCAAGATCGATCTTATAACCCGGAGCAATTCTTCTAGCGTATCGTTACTGTCAATCTTTCTTACCCCGTTCGCTAGGTAACGAACTTGACAGGCATTTTATTCCAATTACTTCCAGATCCACTGTAGCTAGTTAGTACCCCATTTTCCTTAATCTTTTAAGCCAACTAATCTCACGCATGCTCAACGGGTTTCAGGTTTGATAAACATGTTGACCAAGGCACTATTTGTATTTAAATCCTTTTTTCTGATGTCATCTTTCGGTGAATCATTTTCATCTGCCGATGTGAATACGAACTCATGTTCTCTCAAAACACGGCAGTTTTCTGCAGCACTGACATTCCGTCACAATGTTGCATTTTCCCAACGTGAAAAGACCCTGCATCTCATTGAATAGTTGATGTGCGCCCCTGCAGTATTCAGAATAGGAATAGGAATCGAATAGTGCGAACTCGGATTCGGACTGAACACTCACTCAGGTAGAACCAAGACGAGTTGTGGATACAGTTAGTTCTATTCAGAAAATTATGCAAATATATATCACAAGCATCAAACAAGCATTGGTCGATTCTCCAATGTTTAATCGACAACGATACGGTTTATTTGTTTGCCTTCTTACATTCAACCAATCCGGTTAGTGCCAATTGAGACCATAGGATTGGTCGGTAAATCCGTTTCTTGATTGGTTAGCTGGAAGCTGTATCGTGGGTCGTGTATTATCGTTGCACGATCACTACAGCCCCGAGTCATCGGCTTCGACCTTCGTGTTCGCCAATTTCGAATCATCACTCACTTGGATAAACTGTGATAGTTCCTTTCAAGTATTACAACTCTATTCGCATTGAACTCACAGTTACTTGTGAGTAGTGGTGNGGGATGATTGATATTGATTGATTTGAACTGTCTATCCTTCGGATCTCACCTTCATACACAATACTCAGTTCATCGAATCAACCACACACTCGGAAACACTAGACTCCAGTTTCGCTCTTGTTAGAGCATATCCACCGTCCCGTTCGGGATTGATTGAACTCTGGACCCATCGCATGTAAGGAGTGTGCGTTACCATTGTACCAAGCAGCTCATACCGTGGCTGAACCGAATTGCCAATTGATGTTTGTTCAGGTGTCGTCCCCAGTGATAGTCAGTCAGTTCATTTGGCCCGACAACAACGGCGCCTCCCACCAAGTCAGGACTTACATGCAGATTACGGGTTGACTTGCCACATGCCTACCGGGCTCGACTTTTATTCGCATTTAACTCACAGTTACTTCAAGCATGAATTACTATATATA